GGTGGGCTTCCAAACTTCTTCTTGGGCTAACAACCATTATTAGGCCCAATACCTTTAATGCTATATCATCATGACAATAAGGTGTTAGTGTGTGACCCATTAGGCCCAACATAGCCACTTACATAAATGGGCTTGGGCCCAACAAGCCCACAACCCATCTAATGACACCACAGAGCACTAGCAATGCTTTGTTTCCCCAGAGCTAGTTAGGTTAATGACATAATCATCCTATTACACATATTTGGTTACCGTATGTATTTTCTTTCATCTCGGTTACCTTCCTATTAAACCTAGGGTAAGGAAACATATCAACCCTTGCGGTTTAGGGTAAGCTTGATTCGAAATAGGGAATCTTCAATTTACTGACTCTAAAGGCATATCATCTCATGATCTCCTTTACTATGCATAGATTCTCGAGTCCTTGTAAATGTCATCCCGATTTCTCCGGTTTACAGATAACCTATTCTCTCACAGAGATTTGACGAATTCCTTCAGCTTACCACCCTAGCCCTGTGCTCTTTCAGGACAAGCCCAACAGTGTACCTATGAGTCTCTATGTTTAAGGAAGACGAGGTATACAATCAAAGCATGCCTTCTAGAGCACAGTCTAGGTAATAACTTCTGGTCTAAAGAAAGACATACCCAAATATAAAGAGACTACTCTAATGACACTATCTATGAGATTTCCTCATAGAGTCTCTTTGTGGGTCTGTTCAGTGTGAGCTATACCCTTATAGGTCCACCCACGACTTTAGCTAAGACATCTCCATATTTGTAGCACGTGAGGTCTTTACCTTGTATCCAAATACAAGTAGATAAGTCGTGCTAGTCTTACCCGAGATCACTGATCCCCATTCTCAGTGTCTCTAGACTAGGAACATAAAATTAGGAATAAACGTGCGGTATCCTTGAATCCTCATGATCGTGATCTCATCACAGATACTCAAGAGATACCTGTTCTATTCCAAGGGATTTATCTAGTTTATTCATAATATATTAACAATAATATCGAGACAAAATATGAAACAGGATAAAGAGTGCTTATTATTTATTTGCGACAAAAAGGTCCACATCTTATGTCCTTATTTAATCAAAAGATTGTCTCTAGGACATCCATATACTAACAATTCCTTTTGGGCTTACTAATGCCCCGCGTTGTTCATGGATTATATGAATCGCATCTTTAAACTGTATTTGGACCAGTTTGTAATTGTGTTCATTGATGACATTTTGATCTATTCTAAGAGTGAGGAGGAGCATACAGGGCATCTGAGGATTGTGTTGTAGATATTAAAGGATAAAAAGTTGTATGTGAAGCCGTCTAAATGTGAATTCTGGTTATCTGAGGTGCAATTTCTGGGTCATGTTATCTCTGCTAGGGCTGTTACATTTTATGGTATCAGAGCAGTTTTGTAAGGGAACTCTGATAATGCATAACTGTATTTTGTGTTGCATAGCTATCTGTGAACTGTTTATGATTACTGCATATGTGATTCCTCAGTGTGGGTCTGATCAACTTATTCATTTGTGTTACATGTACAGATATCATGAGTAGGGCACGTGGTCGCCGCGGAACTCGAGGTGCAGGTCGTCTAGTAGCACCAGATCCTATTACTGCAGTTCTAAATGCTCCGCAGGAAGAGACTGCTGCAAATAGAAATATGACCGAGACCCTGATGAAAAATAATCAGGATATGATGCATGACTTCATGAATGAGATGAGGGCGGATAGGGCTCGGAACAGGAGGGATGATTCTCCTCCACATACGGCTACGGAGACTCACACCCGTACGCCATCTGTTACACCTCACCAGCAGGGGAGTGGTGCTAGTCGTCAGTCTGGTGAGGCTAGTCACCACACTACTGATCCTACTTATATCCCAGAGCCTTCTGTGGATCCTTCTGTTGTTGCTCAGTCGTCTGGGGTTGCTGAGAAAGTATTTGTTGGTATGATGAGCAGAGGCTCATTTCTTTCAGAAAGCATAAACCACCCGCATTTCAGGGGTCAAGGGACCCGAAGGTTGTGACTACCTGGTTTATGGGCATGGAGAAAATATTCCAGGTTATGGGGTGTCATGATCCCCAGAGATTATTGTATTCTGTCTACATGCTTAAGGGGGATGCCCACGAGTGGTGGTACAATGCATCTCGCCCTTTTACTATTCAGGGGGAAGAACTGACATGGGCTTTGTTTGAGCGATTGTTTCATGAGGAGTATTTTCCCCGAGATGTTCGGCAAGCGAAACAGGGTGAGTTTGAGAAATTGGTACAGGGTACCATGACTGTTGATGCCTATGTGGCGAAGTTCAATGAGTTAGTGAAGTTTGCAAATTATGGGGGTGTGCTGCCGACTCCTGAGTTTCTGTCTGCTAAGTTTCAGAGAGGTTTGAATGAGAAAATTGCTAAGAGGATGTCCAATACTGCCGTGAGGAATTTTGCTGAGTTAGTGACCCAGTGCAAACGGGTTGAAAATGTTTATAACAGGTATCCGAAGTCTAGTTCTTCGAGGACATCTGGTCCTCCAGGTAATAATAACAGAGGTGGCTACCATCGGAATAATAATAGAGGTAGGGGGTTGTAGGTAAGGCAGCCTCCGGGGCAGTTCAAGAGGGGTGGTGGTCAGAGGAGCAGATTTAATGACAGGAATTCTAATTCTCGATGTGATAAGTGTAAGAGGTTTCATCAGGGCCCTTGTACTACGGTTCAAAATGCTTGTTTTAAATGTGGTAAGGTTGGGCATTATGCCAACAATTGTTACAGTAATATTGGGCAGGCTGCGAATCAGCAAGCCTTGCCATCTGTCCCTACGGTTGGGCGTGTCTATACTACCAATGTGCAACAAACAGAGAAGGCACCTAATCTGGTTAAAGGTACAATTTTTATTTCAAATATTGAATTGTCTGTTTTATTTGATTTGGGGGCGACGCATTCGTTTCGTGGCTGAATATGTTGCAAAAGGATTGGGGTTAAGAGTATCACAGATGTTTCCCCCTATGCGTATTACTACTGCTACAGGAGAGGTTAGTGATTCCTCCTTTATTTGTAAAGAGGTTGGGTTTATCTACGAAGGCAGGGGTTACACTATGGATTTGATTATCTTGCCTCTGGCCTCTGTTAATTTGATTTTGGGTATGGATTGGCTATCTCAAAACTGCGCAATGATTGATTGTTGCGGGAAGAGGTTGATACTAGCACATGAGAGGCCCTCAGTGGGTCCCTCTCCTTTTCTGTCTATGTGTCAAGCTGTTAAAGCCTTGAAGGCCGGGGATCAGGGTTATATTTTCTTGGGTGGATTGGTGGGTGGTAAGGAGATTGAGATTTCTACTATTTCGGTGGTTAATGAGTTTGTGGATGTATTCCCTGATGAGATACCGAAATTTCCACCTGAGAGAGAGATTGAGTTCTCAATTAAATTGTTTCCTGGTGTGGGGCCTATTTTTTTGGCTCCATACCGGATGTCTCTGCTGGAGTTGGCTGAGTTGAAGAAACATATTGAGGAGCTGTCTGCAAAGGATTTTATTAGACCGAGTGTGTCCCCATGGGAGGCAACAGTAATATTCGTGAAAAAGAAGGATGGAAGCATGAGATTGTGTACTGACTACCGGCAATTGAATAAAGTTACGGTTAAGAACAGGTACCCATTGCCGCGTATTGATGACTTGTTGGATCAGTTGAGGGGTGCCTGTGTGTTTTCTAAGATTGATCTCCGGTCTGGATACCATCAGATTTGGATTAAACCGGAGGATGTGCCTAACACGGCATTCCGTTCTAGATACGGACACTATGAGTACCAGGTGATTCCTTTTGGGCTTACTAATGCCCCGGCGATGTTCATGGATTATATTAATTGCATCTTTAAACCGTATTTGGACTTGTTTGTAATTGTGTTCATTGATGACATTTTGATATATTCTAAGAGTGAGGAGGAGCATACAGGACATCTGAGGATTGTGTTGCAGATATTAAAGGATAAAAAGTTGTATGCGAAACCGTCTAAATGTGAATTCTGGTTATCTGAGGTGCAATTTTTGGGTCATGTTATCTCTGCTAGGGCTGTTACTCTATTCACAAAAGCCATGTAAATTATAATATAAATACTACAAGTCTAGAGATGTAAATAGGTTAAATAATCTATTAGGCGCTTTCCATACCTATGTCAGGCCAATGTTTATAATAATATATTTAAAATTAAATAGTCCTCGACCTTAAAATAAGTTTGTTTAAAACTTACAAAACTTGACCTACTAGTTTACAAACTAATCTATATCGTATTATTTATTTTAATTAAATAAAATAAAATAATTATTATATATATATATATATATATATATATATTTGATTATTATTGAAGACTTGATAGACTTAAATAGACTTGTAGTAATAGATCATACCTTTTGATATTTAAATATAGTCTAAGCCAAGTGTATATAATCTACATTAAGCTAATAGATTATGTCACGCTAAAAATATTTTATATATATTTAGACCAAAATTTAACCCGACCTAACCCATTTAGACCTCTCTTTTGTGAACATGTTACCCACCATATTTCCAATAGCTAATGCCCCGACCAATGTTGTTAAAATCGAGATCTTAAATAAAATCGGAAGGAAATTAAAAAATCGTAAAATATAAAATCGTAATGTAAAAAAAATGGTAATGTAAAAAAAATCGTAAAAACGTAAAAGCTTTTAGAATATTAGTAAAATCATTTTGGTGAAAAAAAATTGTAAAAACGTAAAATTGTAGTGATAAATCGAGATTTTTACAACAATGGCCCCAACACTTGAAATGTTTTTTCTTTTATTTTTTTATTTTTTTTCCTATCAAATGTTGATCAGCAAAAATAGAAGGGTTTGGTGTTTATCCTCCGTTTGCTTGAGTTAAAAAACTTACTGTACCCTGTATTAAAAAAAAAAAAAAAAAAAACTTACTGTACCCAATGAAAAATCCGGCAAACAATCTATGAAAAATGAGATTCACCACAGCGTATAAGGCCGAGTAAGATGCAAGACTACCAATTTCCATCCATTGTTGCACAGACCAATTTTGTAGGTGTAAAGAGAATAAACATGGCACCAATTTATTTCACTTTGGCCTCCACTCAAGAAAAATAAAAATAAAAACTTTGGGGTTGTTGAACCATTGGCTAAAACTTATTTTGACCACTGTATGGTAGTAACACAATAAAGGATTGACCATGTTCAACATGAAGTTAGTCTATGACTTTAACTAAACGTCATTTCTCTATTCACAAGAAGATGGGCAATTTATGCTCCCCTGAAGCATAGGAAATGATACTTTTCTTGAGTGGTGATATATAGTTTGCTCCATGAAAGGCTGCAGATCGCAGAAAATTTAAAGGTCCAAAATCAACAGAATAAGCTTTTTGGAAGCCATCAAGGAAAGCCATCATCATAATATTTGCTGGTTTCCTCTCTGCTTCATACTTCTTTAACAAATTTACCTGCAGAGCAGCATAAACAACGAAGATAGAATTGTATCACTTTTATGTGAATGTACTTGCTATTTTCCAAAAGTTCCTCGCATACATATTGTCTTGGAAAAGAAGGGAAATTTAGTAAAGAGATTCAATACTGAAGGCGAAGAAAAGCTACCCCTACATGTATGGATAATATATCAAAGCACTCAGATGACCATGCCTCATGAAGCAGATATATAGCCTACTAGATGAAATAAGAGTGGATTCTATTTATTTAACATGACCATATCATGTGGGAGGATTCTAACCATACAAGGATGAATCAATGCTGATAAGGGATAGGAGAGAAAAAATAATGGGATAAGAAGTTATAAAATCATTACCATTGATTTTTTCTATGTCAACATGCACTTAGAAAGAGTACCAAAGTCAAGATACTTGACTTATGCACTTATAGGCTTGTATAATCTTTTTGGCTCAATTTTCTATCTGATCCAACACGTTCACTGCGTAAAAGATAAAAATACCTAAAACACCAATAAAATTCATTGACCAAGCGAGCAGGTGCATAAAACATTAAGGGCCGTTTGAAAAAAAGATTATCTATGCATTGCTTTTTTTCAAAAGTCAGAGCTATATTGCATTTGAATGCATTATTTTTGAAAAACACTTTAAGCTAAAAAGCAATATTTTGACTATTTTAGATGCCAGGAATGTTGGCTTAAAAAAGGAATGTTTTGGCTTTATTTGTGACTTTTAGGGGGCGTTTGCTTCAGGAAATTTTTTTGGAATAGTAGGGAAATGAGATAGATAGAGAAATGATTGGAAAGATAGATAAAGTGAGATAGGTAGAAAAATGTAAAAAAAAGTTGTTTGGTGGGGAAAAACTTTACTGGGAAAATTAGGTAACTTTATGAAATCAACAGTGCATTAAAAGCCAGATAACCGGTTTTCCGAAAAATCCCACCTTCAAATTGGGTTTCTAAACAGTGCGGATATCTATGTTTCTCATAAATCCAGACAAATTGGATAGATGGATTTTTGGTGAAAAACGTTGAAACAAACATGGTGTTTCTAAAAGCCATACTTGAGAAAGATAGATATCCGTTGAAAAGCTCCCAACCAAACACCACCTTAATTTTTTTAAAGTTGACATCCAAATACATAATAAACAGAAGCATTTTTTCCCCCGTTAAAAAAGCAACTTCTTGGACCAAAAAAAGGCCATCCAAACAGTTTGACCGCATAACACTTGACAAAAGCACGGAAGTCTCTAGAATTCCACGTCCCTCAGCCAAAGTGTTGGGTTTTAAACTTTATTTGAATAAAAGAAAATAGAAAATGAAAGGTTTTTTTTGGTGAAGAGGTGTCCCTTGGGAATTTGTTGGTGGACAATTAATGTGTTTAGATTTCCTAAGTTAGTCATTAGTATTTCTAGTTATTTGCTATTGCTTTTAAATAGTACCATGTAAATCATTTGTATGTAAGACTTGAATATTAAAAGATATACAAAGAGGTATATTCAGAGAACTCCTTGTGTGTTTTAAGTGTTTGAGAGAAACACCATTAGAGGACCTGTGATTCACAAATTGGTATCAAAACTTGAGTTATGTAGAGTGTGAGCACTTCCAGTATGTCGTTGCCTCGCCTGACAAAGGCGAATTACGTGAATTGGAGTATCTAGATGAAGGCGTTGCTCGGATCCCAGGATGCTTGGGATGTTGTTCAGGACGGTTTTGCTGAACCTGCAACCACTGCAGGATTTACAGCAGCTCAAACCAAGGCGTTGAAAGAGACGCGTGCGAAGGACAAGTCGGCCTTATACACGCTTTTCCGAGCTGTAGACGAGTCCGGATTTGAGAAGATAGCAGGAGCAACGACGTCTAAGGAAGCATGGGACATCTTGGAAAATGTCTATAAAGGTGCTGACCGAGTAAAGCAGGTCCGACTTCAAACTCTACGTGGCGAGTTGGAAGGCATGAAGATGGAAGATTCAGAGGGTGTATCCGAGTTCATCACCCGAGTTCAAGCCGTGGTGAATCAGTTAAAGCAGAATGGTGAGCAGATATCTGAGACTAGAGTTGTTGAGAAGATTCTAAGGTCGCTGACCGACGACTTCGAAAATGTGGTATGTGCAATTGAGGAGTCGAAGGACTTGGCTACGCTTTCTGTTGAAGAGCTAGCAGGTTCCCTTGAGGCGCATGAGCAGCGCAAGAAGAAGAAAAAGGAGGAGTCGCTGGAGCAATCACTCCAGACAAAAGCAAACATTAAAGATGAGAAGGCGTTCTATTCTCAAAATGTCCGAGGTAGAGGTCGTGGACGAGCAGGACGTGGAAATGGCCGTGGTGGTCGTGGCCGAGGTCATGAGGTGAGAAATGAAGAAAGAGCTGAGTCGAGTCAGAGAGGAAGAGGACGTGGCCGAGGTGGAAGAGGCCGGTGGTCAAATCAAACAAATGTGGAATGTTACAAGTGTGGCAAGTATGGCCATTACTCAAGAGATTGCAACTTGGACAAATGTTACAACTGTGGCCGAGTTGGGCATTTCGCTAAGGATTGTCGAGATGAAAGAAGAATTGACGAGGCTTCAAACCTCGCTGTAGAAGGAGATGGAGGAGTTCTTATGCTAGCCCATGGTGAAACCACTTCAAAGAATGAGACGGAGTGGTATTTGGATACCAGTGCCAGTAATCACATGTGTGGTTACAAACACTTGTTTAAGGAGTTGAAGACGGTGGAAGCCGGACATGTCTCTTTTGGAGACGCGTCCAAAATTGAAGTAAAGGGCCGAGGTACGATCTGTTTCTTGCAAAAGGATGGACGAGTTGGTACAATCCGGGACGTGTATTACGTGCCCGAGCTCAAAAGTAACATATTAAGCATTGGACAGCTGATGGAGAAGGGTTACTCGGTTCTAATGACAGACCGAGTTCTACTGTTGAAAGATAAACAAGGGCGTCTGATAGTCCGAGTTCAGATGGAAAAGAACAGAATGTACAAGCTGAGTCTAAGGAGCATGGAGGTCGGCTGTCTGCAAGCCGGGGTAGAAGATAAGATGGACTTGTGGCATAGACGGTTTGGACACCTTCATTATGGTGGTCTGACCGAGATGATGAAGAAGGACATGGTAGTGGGACTACCGAAGATTAATTCTGAAGGAAGATTTTGCGAGGACTGCGTATTGGGAAAACATGCGAGAAGCCCGTTCCAAAGGATGGCAAGATACCGAGCTAGGCAGCCTCTGGAGTTGATACATACCGACCTGTGTGGACCCATTACTCCGGGGTCCTTCAGTGGTAAGAAATATTTTGTAACTTTTATTGATGACTTTAGTCGAAAGACTTGGGTATATTTTTTGAAGGAAAAATCTGAGGTGCTAGAGGCATTCAGGAGTTTTAAAACAATGATAGAGAATGGTACTGGAAGATACATCAAGTCGGTCCGCTCAGACCGAGGTGGGGAGTACGTGTCAACAGCTTTCAAGAAGTATTGTGAAGAACATGGGATAAGGCGGTTCCTGACCTCTCCGTACTCGCCCCAGCAAAATGGAGTAGCTGAGAGAAAGAACCGGACTATCCTGGATATGGTTCGATCTATGCTAAAAACGAAGAACATGCCAAAGGAGTTATGGGGAGAAGCCGTGCAATGTGCCGTGTACGTGCAAAACCGATGTCCGCACTCAAGTGTGAATGATAGAACTCCACAAGAAGCATGGAGTGGTCTAAAGCCATCAGTGGCTCATTTCAAGATTTTTGGTAGTGTTGCGTATGCACACATACCAGATCAATTGAGGACAAAGCTAGAAGATAAAAGTAAGAAGTATGTGCTTATTGGCTATGATGAGAAGACGAAGGGGTACAAGTTGCTGGACCCCGTCAATAAAAAGGTGTTGGTGAGTCGAGTTGTAAAAGTGAATGAGGAAGATGGATGGGACTGGAGTAGTCCATCCGGGGTCAATATGGAACCCGGACTAAAATCAATTGAGGTCGGACAACCTTCGACCCGGATTCCTGAGAATCCGAATGACTCAGATAGTGATGAAGAGCAGAGACAACCGAGATTGAGGAGTCTACAAGATTTGTATGATTCCACCAGTGAAGCACACTTGGTATGTCTGTTGGCAGATTCTGAAGAAGTAAGCTTTGAAGAAGCAATCCGAGATGAGAAATGGCAATCAGCCATGGAGGAGGAAATAAAGGCGATAGAAAAGAACAAGACGTGGGAGTTAGCCGAGCTGCCCAGAGGAAGTCGGCCCATTGGTGTGAAATGGGTCTACAAGAAGAAAATGAACGATAAGGGGGAGATCGAAAGATACAAAGCCCGGCTAGTGGCGAAAGGGTATAGGCAGAAGGCTGGCATTGATTATGACGAGGTGTTCGCACCCGTAGCAAGAATGGAGACAATCAGGCTGTTGATCTCTCAAGCAGCCCAATTCGGATGGCCGATCTATCAGATGGATGTGAAGTCGGCATTCTTAAATGGAGTACTCGAAGAGGAGGTGTATCTGGAACAACCTCCGGGATTCATGAAAGCCGGACAAGAAAGAAAAGTGTTGAGACTGAAGAAAGCCTTGTATGGGTTGAAGCAGGCCCCAAGAGCCTGGAACACAAGAATTGACAATTACTTCAAAAAGGATGGATTTGAGCAGTGTCCATATGAACATGCTCTCTATGTAAAGAAGAAGGAAGGTAAAATTTTACTTGTTGCCTTATATGTTGATGACTTAATTTTTCTGGGTAATGATGAAAGAATGATAAAAGACTTCAAGAAGAAAATGACGGAAGAATTCGAGATGACGGATCTCGGTCTGATGAGGTATTTTCTTGGTCTGGAGGTCAGACAAGACAAATCCGGGATCTTCGTCTCTCAGGAAGCCTATGCAAAAGGAATTTTAGAGAAGTTTAAAATGACAGACTGCAACCCGGTTTCAACGCCAATGGAACCCGGTTTGAAACTTTCGAAGTATGATGGAGGAGAGAGAGTTGATCCGAGTTACTACCGGAGTCTAGTTGGAAGTTTGAGGTACTTGACGTGTATGAGGCCGGATCTGTGTCTGAGTGTTGGGATCATAAGTCGATTTATGGAAGACCTGGGGTACACTCACTGGAAGGCGGCTAAGAGAATTCTGAGATATGTGAAGGGAACAATCTCACAAGGACTTCATTACTCGAAGTCGGACAAATACAAGTTGACGGGTTATTCAGACAGTGATTGGTGCAGAGATGTTGATGATAGAAAGAGCACGGCTGGCTATGTGTTTTTCATGGGAAACACGGCTTTCACGTGGGTGTCAAAGAAGGAACCCATTGTGACCCTGTCTACATGTGAAGCCGAGTATGTTGCGGCATCTTGGTGTGTTTGCCATGCAATATGGCTAAGGAATTTACTAAGCAAGCTGGAGCAAGGGCAAGTCGGCGCAACCGAAATCCGAGTTGACAACAAGTCTGCAATCGAGTTAGCAAAGAACCCGGTCAATCATGAGAGGAGTAAGCATATTGATGTCAGGTTTCATTTCATCCGAGATCAAGTCAAAGAAGGAAAAGTGGAGCTCACTCATGTTGCAAGCCGAGATCAAATTGGAGATATTTTTACAAAGCCCCTGCCGACGTTGTTGTTTGAAAATTGCAAGAAGAAGATGGGAATGAAGGATGGTAGAGATATTAAAGTTTAAGGAGGAGTTTTGTTGGGTTTTAAACTTTATTTGAATAAAAGAAAATAGAAAATGAAAGGTTTTTTTTGGTGAAGAGGTGTGTCCCTTAGGAATTTGTTAGTGGACAATTAATGTGTTTAGATTTCCTAAGTTAGTCATTAGTATTTCTAGTTATTTGCTATTGCTTTTAAATAGTACCATGTAAATCATTTGTATGTAAGGCTTGAATATTAAAAGATATACAAAGAGGTATATTCAGAGAACTCCTTGTGTGTTTTAAGTGTTTGAGAGAAACACCATTAGAGGACCTGTGATTCACATAAAGCACCACTGCATATTACAGAACAATTTTTGGTGAATTTAGGGATATTAACTGCTGAGGTTGCACTTCAATTGCACTGCTATGAATACTTAATTAGAACAAAATACCAATGAATGAACAGCTGAACTCTTAAACATATTAAGAGATTTAGTGGGTTAACCCAATTGTCCCAAACATCCCTTTCCCTATTTATCTTTTACACGGTGAGAGAGAGAGAGAGAGAGAGAGAGAGAGAGAGAGAGAGGAGTACAAAAACTTCAAAACCAAAGAACTTCCACATCTCAACCCTAACATGTTAGAAAAGTGAATTATGTCTAGGTTCAGTGTATCATGTAAATTTAGTAATTAAGAAAAAAAAAAAAAAAACAAACAAAAAACGTTGGAAACATAGCATACCTCTCCAATATCGGTGCCCAAAGCAATTCCCTCTGCAATAACTCTTGAAAGAGAAAATGCATCTCCAAAACCCAAATTAACTCCTTGACCAGCAAGAGGATGGACAGTGTGGGCTGCATCTCCAATAAGAACCACACGTTTTGATGCATAGGAATTGGCATGCCTTAAAGACAAAGGAAACACCATTCTTTCAGATGCCAACCTTATTACTTTTGGAGGAACTTCAAAGAATTCATTAGCTGATAATGTTGCATCCATTTTAAACCATGAGAACATGTCTCGGGTTCCTAATAAACTTGATGTAGGATGAGGTCCATATCCATAATCTAAAGCAGAATTCACATCCTTCAAAAAATCTTCCTCGGTAATTGATTTGCGGTTGTTTGACTCAGTTGGGCTCATGGTCCAAACAATATTGCTGAACTTATCACCCATAGGTAAAAGTGCAATTGGACCTGTAGGGAGAAAACGTTGCCATGCACATCGGTTTTCAGAAGTATGCTCGACTGTGCAGATGATTGCATTCTGAGAGTAATTCCAACCAGTTGTTTTGAATCCTGCTAAATCCCTAACACGTGATTTTCCTCCATCAGCCCCAACCTTCAAAACAAGCATCTATGTGATTCAACACCAATTGTTGTATATTAAATAAACAATCAGGTAGTTGCTAATTGGCCCCCAGAATGTAAATTAGCATAATTTTGTTGCTATTTGTAGCATTGCAACATGACACATTCATAAGCAAAGTTTAAATTACCACCAACTTTGCATATATGCTACTGCCATCACTAAGTTCGAGCTTTGCACTATGACCTTGAGCAGATGATGGTTCTTTGGATGCTGTATTCCCCACCAAAGACATAGATCTTGGATTCAAAGTCATTGAAATTAACCTCAACGGATAGATTGCTTTCTTGAAATCAGAATCCTGCCAAGATGTTTGTAGTTCTCAATGTAATGTATCATGCCCTAGCATAACAAATTCTACTAATAGATACTTAATGGAAAAACCTTGGAAACAGCCAAAACATAGTTAGATTTAGTGACTTAATGGTCCTGACTTTAAAACATAAATGGCAACCAGCAAAATTACATAATATTTCTAGAACATCCAAGGATAGGAGAGAATTGCATCTAGTTCACATTTTACACTAGAATTAGCAAGCTTCCTATTCAAAGAGTATTTTAGCACATTGTCACAGGATACAGAATATGAAAAGACGAGACTTTCTACTTTCTAGTTAATGAAGTCAATTTTTATACAAGCGGAAAAAAGGGTCATCTTTTGCAAAAGAATGTGTTAGGAGAAAAGATGATTAAAGAATATGAGCATGAGGAATCTAAAAGCTTCCAATTATGAATAACATAGAGAACCTCGAACTAGGAACATTGTCCAAGCAGCTAAATGCTTCACATAAAATTACTAGCCATGTAATTAAATAATGCATATCACACAGACAATATGAATTTATACCTTTATGCATGACAATAAGGCACTATGGAGCACTTTATTCTCTGCTACACACCTGAGTGATCAAGTTTTTGCAATTAGTAATGAGATAGCGGTTTTGCAAAGAGGTTTACTTCACTATATCATAAGTTCACACTAACCCTAGAAAGTCTTTATCTACATCTCTTGCGTCATATCTAGCATATCCCAAACCAGTATAATCCCAAACCTGCAGAGAGAAAAAGAATTCAAGAAATTTTGAATTACAAATTAAACGTGGTCAAAGAGAACGTTTGATCTGATAATTTCTAATATTTTATTGAAAAAGGTTTTCAGTATATCGATATTGAATAATTACATGAGGAATGAGGAGTATTTATACAAGAAAAAATAGCTAAGCATGACTCAGCTATGACTCACCAAACCTCATCACAATCATATGAATGACTCACTAAACCTAATCACAATTAATTCTAATTAATCCTAATTAATAGGAAATAAAAAACAATCAATCCTAATTAATCTTAATTATTCCTAATTAATAGGAAATAAAAACAGAAAAATATTTGAATTTGAATTCCGATTTTCTACACTCCCCCTCAAGTTGGGAGGTAAATGTTGATCATTCCCAACTTGCCAATCAAGTCTTCAAAGGCTGGCCGGTGTAGGCCCTTAGTGAGAATATCTGCAATCTGCTCTTTGGTAGGAATATACACCATACAGACACTTCCATCATCTATTTTTTCTTTATTAAAGTGGCGATCAACCTCCACATGTTTTGTTCTGTCATGGTGAACTGGATTTTGAGCAATACTGACAGCAGCCTTATTATCACAATACACTCTGACAGGTAAGGAAAAAGAGATCTTCAATTCCTCAAGGAGTCTTCTTAACCAAATTCCTTCACAAATACCATGGGCTAGAGCCCAAAATTCTGCTTCTGCACTGCTCCGGGCAACAACTGTTTGTTTCTTACTTCTCCAGGTCACAAGATTTCCCCAAATATAGGTGCAATATCCTGAAGTGGATCTTCGGTCCAATGCAGAGCCAGCCCAATCTGCATCTGTAAATATTTCAATCATCCTCTTGTGTCCCCTTTTAAAGAACAATCCTTGACCAGGGGTGTTTTTGAGGTACTTCAGAATTCTATAAACTGCACTCAGGTGTTTTTCCTTAGGAGAATGCATGAATTGACTAACCATGCTAACTGCAAATGCAATATCAGGCCGAGTGTGAGATAAGTAGTTCAACTTCCCCACCAATCTCTGATACTGCTCTTTGTCAACTTCTTTCCTATCTTCGGTTCCCAATTTAATATTGGGTTCAACTGGAGTCTCTGCTGGCTTGCACCCAAGCATTCCTGTTTCTTGTAACAGGTCTAGAATATATTTCTTCTGAGTTAAAGAAATTCCTGCCTTACTTCGAGCAACTTCCATGCCTAGGAAATATTTGAGAGATCCAAGATCTTTCAGTTCAAACTGATTAGCTAAACATTTCTTCAAAGAGCTTATCTCCTCACAATCATTACCTGTGACAATTATGTCATCAACATAAACAATGAGAATAGCAATTTTACCACTATTAGAGTGTTTTAAAAATAAAGTGTGATCAATCTGAGCTTGGAGGAATCCTCTTCCCTTAACAGCTTGAGTAAACTTCTCGAACCACTCTTTAGGAGATTGTTTAAGACCATAGAGAGACTTTTTCAACTTGGATACTAAATCGTCTCCTTTTTCAAAACCAGGTGGTGGATCCATATAAACTTCTTCATGTAGATCACGATTCAAGAAAGCATTCTTTACATCTAATTGTTGCAAGGGCCAACCAAGATTTGCAGCAAGTGATAAAAGAACTCGGATAGTGTTAAGCTTGGCAACAGGGGCAAATGTCTCTTGATAGTCTATCCCATGAGTTTGAGTGAATCCCTTAGCAACCAGTCTGGCCTTATACTTGTTGATACTGTTATCTGCATTAAACTTTATTGTGAACACCCACTTGCAACCTACTGTTTTCTTTCCTCTGGGTAATGCTACAGACTCCCAAGTTCCATTTTTGTTGAGTGCATCCATTTCTTCAAAGACTGCATTCCTCCATTTTGGATCATCAAGTGCTTCTTGGATATTTTTTGGTATTTTTGTACTGTCTAACATGGTGTTGAAAGCACGAAAACCTGGGGACAACTTTTCATATGTGATATGATGAGAAATAGGATGAGCAGTACAAGATCTAGTACCTTTCCGGAGAGCAATAGGCACATCTAGATTGGCTGTATCAGTGTTGCTGGAACTAAGACTCGAGTCAGAATCCTGGCAGTCTAGAAGCTCCTGAGGTGATTCTCGCCTGCTGTAAAACTTTCCCCATTTCCCGGGAGGATCTCCATTATCTGACACATTAACTCCCCCTGTCGTGTGAGGGGGCGTGTTGAGAGTCCCACATTGATTGTGTGGGCAACTAATGTGGCCTTTATAAGGCATTGGGCACTCCCACCCTTTGAGCTAGCTTTTGGGGTGGTGACCTCAAGGTTCTTAACATAATCATACAAGTGATACACATAAGAAGGAATAGTGTGCGTATGCACAACATTCAATTCAATTTCCCTAATTTGTTAAGCTCTCAACAACTTTGCACTTCGGAACTCATATCCATCATTGAGCTATTTATGAAAACAAAATACTTTAGTGAATGGAGGAGAAAAAAAAAATACCTGCATTTTATTGAAATAAGCATGTCTATTTTGCTCAACATATTTCCAAGCACCAGCATCTGGAAATAGACCAAGTATTAAGAGTCAAAGCCACTATGCAATAAATTTGCTTCCATCCCTACCGTACAAGCACAAGTTCTATTACCTTTGATGGTCCAATTTTATTCATGTCACCTAAGCAAGGACTAAACAATCTAAACTCAATAAAAGAAAAATGTGAACATGTTGAAGCAATGGCACTCACCAACCTTGGTCTCATGACTACTTATTACTTTCATTTTATGCAAAGTAAACAAGTACATGCAAAGAGACAGGGTCAGTGCAAATAAATTGTGCTACAACTTTGGCACACTATCTTTGTGGTCATGATAGCTTGACAATAATATAGACTTGAAGTGAAGAGATAGATTGTCCCACAGAGGAGATTACATTGCGTGAGTAACTTGAATTATCAAGAATAGATGTAGTGAAAACTGCATTAAGCCAAAAGAAAATAAATCTACCAAAAACACAAAAAGGTAAAGATAAACATAGCTAGAATTATGTATTTTACAAAAATATTTGTTGCACATAGTTTGTGTACAAATAAGCCATTGGGACTAGGGTGCGCTTAACATTAATGAAAAAGAGGAATGCCATTAAGATCTCTTAGGAGCTAGGAAAACAATGCATAAACTGCTACCCACTTTCACGATTTGATAATTACGGTTTCAGTGCTAAAAGTTGAATGTTTTGCTTAATGGGTAATTTAATTGCACCTTTGATGGTTATTTAGTATGCACGAGTTATAATTATAAATGTGAGTTTAGTTTTTCATATATAATAGTTGATTTTTTTGTATGTGTAAAGCGTCAATTCAACCCAAAAGTTTCAGCTGTTAGAAGGTCACATTAATGGTTTTATATTATATTTCTTTAACATGCATCTTCAAATGGGTTTGAAGGGTGAACAATGCACAGATCTACTTACCTGCATTAAGAAACTCCATAATTAATTATTTATTGATAAAATGGGGACAATAAGAATCGAACTCATGATCACCCGATCACGGAGACTCTTGTACCACACAAAATATCAATTCAACCCAAAAGGTTAAGCTATTAGGTGAATGCCACGTATGATTTTATAATATATCTCTTTAATAGTATGCATGGATGGTATTAAGTAAAACACTTTTTTTAATAATAGGCTCTTTTATGGAAATGTGGAGTTTATACAATTCTTTGATGTATTCGGGCAGTGGAATGCCCTCATATCTTTTTCCATAAACTTTATATGGGAAAGGATAACATTTGTTGCTTCTCTTTAGTGTTCTATTCAGGACTGTTTTAAGCTGAGTTGCCATTTCAAGCATGTAGAAGGACACAGCGGCCATGTTATATATATATATATATATATATATATATATATTTCTTTTTTTTCTTTTTTTGGTACATATATATATATATATTTCTATCCTCTACATAGTTGTACTTTCTTCCTTTTTCTCTCTAATAAAAGCTATGCCTTTTCTATCCAAAGAAAAAACCAAAAACAGATAGTGAATAACAAATCTTAATAAACGCATACCTTGGAGAAAAGATATTGAAGCAGGAGTTACTGTACTGACTCTTGGATCAGGGGGGTCTTCCTTCTTGATGCACAAGTTACTACCCAGAGCCGGATTGCTATCAATAATTGCAACACTCAACTGCTTCGTCATTGGCATACTTGCTGAAAGAACAAAATAATTGTCCAGATTTGTGTCTTCAATAGTATTGTGCAACATAAGTAATAATACTCTTCAGCACCATCATCATAAACTAGGTAACTATTTGTTTTCATTGTATGCATGTCTTAATTTTTACTATTTCCTCCTCTCTCTCACTCACTCTCATAAGTAATTGAACAACAAAGATATGTTGAAGTGTGAAAACAAACACACACACACACACACACAAAAGCTCCTCATTAAACCACGACTAACGAGGTCCTTGTACATTAGTGAGGTGCTGAACAAGGTTTATAGCCGTAGGAAGAGGACTAAGACTGATCTATGTGACGAGGCTGCTGATGCTGATATTGGGCCTATAGCATATGCAAATGTTGGGCCTAGGCAAATGACAGATGATGAGGCTGATCCATTGGTGAATGCTGATGTGGATGGTCTGTTAGCATGTGCTGAGATAGTGCAATGAGAAAATGAAATTATGCCAAATTAGTTATAATAGATGGAGGAGTCTGTAGTGGAGAGGTTGTTAGAAGAGAGATGGTGTAGTTGGGAGTGGGGAATATAAGTTGCGAGTCCGTAAGGGGAGTAGGCAGGAAAAGAGTAATTCAATCAAGTCAGTGGTGAATTGTGGGAGGAAGGGTATTGTGGAGTCCCTTGGTTTATTTTCCATTTAGGTTCTGTTTTATTTTCCTTCAAGGCTATGTCAGCCATTGCTAAAGTGTCTCTTGTTGTTAGTAGGAATTTGTCTTGCTTTTGTTATTGTTTGTTGAACTATTTCTGATTTCAAGAAATATCAAATTGAGGTTTCATCATACGCAGACTTACCCTTGCATATTTTTGCAAAGAAACTATTTCTTAGATTCTAACTCATGATCTTTCAGTCACAAAGGAGCAACTCTACCACTGATCCAGCCTCGCCCTCTTAATAAAAACACCAAATTGCTCATAAATATTATGCAAATTATAAATGCAACTTTCACATTTAATAGGTGGCCTCATGAATCACAATTCTAAATGATCACAAGTGAATTTTGAGTATTTGATAGATAAAAGTTGTAATAGTGTAATACTCTCTTTGATAAAACTGAAGTTATGAAGACTAACCAAATACCAAACTTTTAGGGTGATTAAGCTGCATTGAGATATAATCCTCAAGCCTAACCATTCGTTTTATTAATTATACTTCGAATCTTGCAAGAAGAAAATCTAATTATGATTTGAAAGTGCAGATAGACCAAACAGCAACACTTGAATAATTTGTTGTAATGAATGACAGAAACTGACTGCTTAGTCTGATTTTAATGATAAAGTGGTGATCACAACCACCCTAGCAGAGACATGACGTGGTTTGGAACACACCCAAACTGGCCAGTTAGAAGTCTATATAAAGTGACTAAGGACAGCATCCGGTCAGGCAGAATTCAGATTAAATCATGTAATAATAATGAAACAGATTCTCAAATATTTTATGGATCGGGATCAGATATCAGTTTACTAGTCACCAAATAAATAGGTGCAGACTGACAAAAGATTAAACTCTGGTGAAACATGATTAGCTAAAGATATTTGCTAAAGCTTACCTACCTACAACAATTTCTCCCCGTGAATTATAGATTATGAGGGCAAAATACAATATATTGCAGTCTAGACAAAACATGACTCAGACACACCCATCCACAAGCAGATTGTTACCTACCTAAGAAACAAGCTAAAGCCATGCCAACCATGCCTCCTCCAACAATAGCAATATCATATTGTGGAATATTTTTGGTAATAGTCTGCTTCTTCTCATGCTCCTGCAGATTTTCAAGAATATAAATTGTTCAATTTTTGTTTGCTATTCCATTGGCAAATCATTAGCTTTCAAATGATATTATGAAAATGCACAAAGACACAAAAAGAATATGGGAAAAGTAATGACAATGGACAAAGATTACAGAGAAGCTAAGCACTGAGTAATTAATCACAATCATCCCTAATCAATGCAATAAGATTAAAATACTAAAAGAAAAAGTAAAAACCAGGAATTAAAAATATGCTACAAGCCTACAATCCATCGTAAATCAGTAGAGAAAAGGATTGTGTTATCACGTCACATAGTTTTCCATTTGGTTGTGGTCTTTCTCTTTATTAACACAGAGCTTGTTGTCCAGGGTAGTGAGGGCAAGTTGCCCATCTTAACAATGATTCCGGTTTGTGTTAACGCATAGAGTTTGTTGATCAGGGTAAGTAAGGGCTAGTTGCCCAACTTAATAATGATTGTGGTCTGTGTTAACCCAAGAAGCAACTTCCTCAGGGGAGTCTAGGCGAATTGCCAAACGATTCTTGTCTATCTTAACCCATAGATACAGCAACTTGCACAGGGGAATGAGGGTGAGCTTCCCTGCTTTGATGTTTAGTTTTAGTTTGCTGTGGCCTGTAGATATGGCTTCAAAGGAGGTTTAGTAAATACAGTGGTCGCACAGGGTAGTTTATTTGCATTGCTGGTTGTGACCCAAAGAGTCATATGTAGTCATTGATTTGACCTAGAGTGTTGGTTTGTTGTTGTTGCTCAGAGTAATGGCTTGGTGATCTTACTTTGGTGTCAACAGAGTTGTGATTTGAAGACTTTGGGAACTCGAAAGGGGCTTCATTTGTTACTGGTTAGTCCAGTGCTGTCGAGACCAGCTTGGGATTTGAGGTGACCAATAAAGAGAAAAGTCAAAGATTTCTGAAGCTGTGTCAAGTTCTTGAGATGTCTTCCAAGGGCATTACCAAAAGTTTTTGTTATTCAGGGGGAGTACTAGTTGCCTCACTTTGTTTAGATTGGTAGAGTTGTTTCATAGCTTGGGGTCCTTTGTTTTCAGTTTGCAGATTTGCTATTTGAACCAAGAGCTTGCAGCTTGAGTAGGAGGAGTGTTAAGAAATACTATATTCTATTTTTCTGCTTGATGTGCTCCCAAACCAAAGAGTACTTGTGTCCCTATGCAGTTATAGTATTAGTATAAACAGATATTTAGGGTCATTTTATGTAGTAGATTCATTATGACTTATAAGGAAAGGAGTGTGTCTTCTCGGTATCTTTCCCAGTCTCTTTGCTGAAACCCTATTGTTTCTCAACAGTACTTACATAAAAATATCTGCATTTTCTACGAGATCACAATTGGTTCTCTTGGAAAAATTCAATTTTGTGCTAGTAAATACTAAACTCTAGATATATTACATGAAATTATTCATAAGAATACTGATAAACTAAAATTTCAACCAGATTGCCTGCCGAGAGTGATCATCATCATAAAACTAATACCAAGAATTATATAAGAAAATTATATCCATCACTATAAAAAAAAGTTATATAAGTATAACTCTCTATTCGCTATTGTTCCCTAAAACTATTAAAGGAAATAAGGAAATAGGGTTACATCTTTCATTGGATATTAAAAGGTAATATTCCTCAATCTGCCAGAGAAGAAACTTGTAGAGTGATATCAACAGGGTTACAATCTTCAGTATATCCATGCCAAATGGTCAATTTAGAAACACAAGAAACAAACCCAATTCACCAAATTATATATTGCTAAACTTTGAAGTTGCCAGAATCTAAATTCTCAAGATTCCATTGCAAAAATAACTATCCCCAACTTGCTCTGTCAAATCCATTCATTTTCATGGATTTATAATATTCTCCCAATAAGACCATTATGTACACTTCAGCTCATAATTAGGAGTAATCCTAAGCTAGAATTGTGAAATGAAAGAAATGTAAACCAAACTGGAGAAAAAGAAAAAGAAAAAACAGAATTATTGATATGAGATACAGTCATTTCCTTACATTGGAAGGCTCTCCACTAGTGGAACTAGCAAATTTCACAATCTCAGTACAAAAAGACTTCCTTGGAATTTTCAGTGCACAGAGATTTGAAACACTCTTCTTTATCACTCTGTCATATCAGAAACTCAGTTAGACCCTAAAAAGTTTCTAAATGAAAAAAAAAAAAAAAAACTTAAGTGCAAAAGCTCATTAACAACACAAACATTCCCATTCTGGCACACTAAGAAACCAGAGAGAGAGAGATTTGAATGAAAAGGAACAGGAATCAAAATTTTCAAAAGTGAATAAGAATACCTGTTCATTGTTTGAAGAGGTGAAGAGAAAGAAATAGATTATAAGGTTAGAAATGCAACAACAACGACCGTTTTGTTGTCTCCGCCGCTCGATTCCAAACCATGGGGAAGAGAAGAGGCTTACGTTGCCACAGTACGAGACATGTGTTATTTGTAGAAAATATTTTCAGCGAAAAAAATAATATATTTACACTATCTTTATTTTTATTTTTATGATTTTTATTTTCATATTCCTAATTTTTTATTTTCTTACCTACTCCTATTATATCGAAAATTAGTGAATTACCCGTACTATGCACCGGAAAAAAAGGAACAAAATTGTTATTAGCCGTCTTTAGTTAATCATTGTACTGGTAAATCAACATTGTCATCTTGCCATGAAGCTCTAAATGGTATAATAGTATAGGTATAAACATGAATGAACAAAAACCAAAAATGCAAACCTATTACTTGAGAAATATATGAAATAAAAAAAATTATCTTGTTATTTTGTGTTATTTTTGAACTTGAAAAAGCTACAGCATTCATGCATGACTTTGGAAGTAACAACTTGCGTAACTCTGCAATGAAGAAAAAATGTGACAAAATTCAGGACAATTCCCAGCAATTAATTCAGCTAACAAATTTTAGCTATTACTTCTTATTTCCAGCTTTCTTTGGGCGCAGATTAGGATATCCAGCACCCAACAAAGACAAAAAACAAAAAAACAAGAAAACAAAACCATAAATTATTTAGGATGAACACTACTCGACAATAGAAATGTTAAATTGCTATAGCAATTATAGGTGGCATCAAATAAACTATTCAAACATTTGGATTAAATAGATGACACTGACATTTTAACACCTAGAAGAAATAGAACCAAATAAATCTTGTCTTGCAATGGACCAAATGAACTACACTAATCTTTGAAATACTTCCTTGTAGGCGATGTTAAAGGTTTTATTTGTAACACAACCATTATCATCAAATATTAATATCTTCAACCCCTATTTGCTCTTTACTCTTGATAGTGCCAATATAATTGCCCATGAGTGAAGACAAACCTAGAAAGATAAATTCCAACATGAGAAAATAATTGTCCTAGACTCTTGTTGATAGTCATGGCAAATGAAATGACCAACAGGAATTGTCTTCTTTGGAAATATACAGGAAATGTATGATTTGATGGACTCATCGTCATTCTAGGGATTAGCACAATTTCTCCTATATTACTTCATGTAACTATAGTTGCCTCAACAACATGTTGCCCAATCTTGAAATAATCAATCTTGTGTCGTTGCATAAACCTCTTGAAAATATTTGAGTTAATATGTTTAATATTCTAACAAACATTTTATAATTGAAGTTGGATGTGGTAATATCAAAAGAGCATTCATTAACTTAATTGCATAAGTAGAAATAATTGTTCACAAAATTAACAAATATATATATATATATATATAGATATATATATTTAATGCATCGTATTTAATCTCAATAAAATTAGTTTAAATGCTTGTTTATGTTCATTTGTCACACTTTGATTGTTCATTTTGTTTAGATGCTTGTTTCTGAAATATTTACAAAAGTAAATCCAATGATCAGGCACACAAAGACGGGTTTGTTAGACAATAAATATAAAAAAAAGTTGGCAGGCAGGGTGGACTTGGCCGCTCTAACTTTCAACATTTTATATCAGCATGTAATAGATTTTTTATTTAAAAATAATATGTTATGCCTGATTTATATTTTAAAGTCACATATAATTTTAAAAAATTAAATATAACTATAAGAGTAATTCTACTTTGGTTTTAAGTATATATATTCAATTATTTGGTTTTATTTTCCAAAGAATTGGCTGGAATTATCCACAATTTGATATCATGACTAATTCTTTTAATTGTAAGTGTAATAACATCACCGATTAAAAAATAAAATTAAAAACTTCTTCCATTTGTTTTGGACAAAAATTAAAATAATCATTAAATATTTTAAGTTTTAAAAAACATCAATAGTTCAATACTGTATTTGATCACTAATATTCTTTTAATATACAATTAAAATATTAAAGAAGTTTAAAATAATAAGTAATGCGTGATTTATATTTTAAAGTCTCGTATATTTTTTTCTTAAAAAATTAAAAAAATTATAATTTTAAAACAAAATAAATATATTTTTCCTTTTGCTTTTTTTTTCAAATTATTTTAACCAATTTATTTGGACATTCATAAATAATATTATAAATTATTAAATGTATATATATACATATATATATATATATATGATTGAATATATATATATATATATATATATATATATATATATATATATTATAACATAAGATTTAATTAGTAGTACATCCAAAATTTATTTCCTTCGTACCTAGTTTATTAAATTTTAATTTTAGCAGCTTAAATTTTTATTATAAATTAACTATTTTATCATGTGTAATCATTTATTTTCTTTATACTCTGTTTAATCAAATTTCAATTTTCTATAATTCCAAATTTTGCTTTACATTCTTTTTCCTCTTATCAAGTTTAAAATTCAAATTTAAAAAATTTGAATTTTAAATATTAAATATTTTTCACCCAATAGATATAATAATAAATATTATCAATAGGCTTAATAATTTACCATGCAAAAAGTAGTGGAAAACTTTAAAACAGTCTGTAAAATACTTAAAGGAAAATATCTATTTACGATGCAGGAGTTGGATAATCACTAGTCACTAAATGGTCATTCATTTTAATTGAGTTATTAATAATAATAAATAATTATTTGTGTCTTTTTTAACAATCTAAATTAATTATGTTTATAAAAATTAAATATTATTCTTTTTTCCCAACGATTATAATCTAAAAAATTAGAATTTATTCTTTAAACTTTTTAGAAAATATTAAAGCTACATTTTTTAGGTTTTAGTTTTTATGAAAAAATTATTTAATTATTATAAGTTCTAAACATATTTTTTATTAAAAAACACATATTTTAAAGCCAACTACTTAATGGGTTGGAAACATGTAATCATAAATACTTTAAAGTTTTAAATGTGGTTGACTTTTGGCAAACTTTTCAACAGGGTCAATTACTAATTTACCCTTCCTTTATTAATCCATTCTAATTAATTATTTAAAACCTCTAACATGGTTTTAAATTCATAAAATTATGAATTAACTTTCTCATTGAATCCCTTTTAAGTTTTGGGCAACTTTTGCTTAATTGCATTTTTACCCAAAATTTTCACTATTTGCACTTTTACCTCGAAAAGTGACTTAGTTCACATAATTAGATTTCTCATCTAATTAGTCTCTTTTAATCATTTAATAACCCCTAATTATCCAATTTAATTATTCGGGTTATTATAATACTAAACCCACAAATATGATTTGACATAAAATCTTAATATTTTAAGTTAAGATGTACCGTGATGCCCCTATTATGGTCTAATAGTTGTTCCTTAACCCATTAATGTGATTTAAATGCATTAATATAGGTCTCTGCACTCCTAATTGACCTAATAGTGGTATTACAACATTAGTTTAGGATCTGCACATCACTGTCTATTCCCCATGAATTTTATTCCCCATGAATTTTTGGGAACAATACCTCTTCTGCATATATGATTAATGTAGGAGGATCTGGAATATCTAACCAGAAGTTGGTGATTGTATCTAGGATAAGTATACTCGAGGGGGTTTATTGAATAGACACCATAAGGAGTACAAGATCACTGTGCATGAATAATAATGCCATAACCAGAGCGTGGGGTATGTGCATAGGGACAATTAAAGAGGTGAAGAGTAAAAGTGTATACTTGGTACTTGGTAGGCTTAACCACTTATTTATACATGGGCTACTTGTGGATGTAGAGTCCTAATGAGAGTGAGACTATTTGAAGGGATAGGATAAATGGTTTATCCTTTACTCTATAGTGATAGGATAATGAACTTTTTTCTTATCTCTATAACTTGCCATTTGATGTTAAGATATATGGGCCCATGGATTGGGTTCAGAATGATTGTCCCCCAATCTGAGCATTCGAATTGTATTACTACTTTGTAGATTTTGGATATATCCGAGTCGTTTGTGGCTAAGATCTCGTTTGTCAGTTGGCTTTTATAGCTCTGGGTCGCCTTGTGTAGCATGTCTTGTGGACGAGCTTCATTCCATCTTGGTGTGGCTCGACAGGTGTGTTAGGTAATTGAGCTCTGACTCGCCTGGCCAGGTTGCTTAGGATTTTTCCAACAAAGTACCTTGGTTGGGTTGCATCTTAAAGACGAAGTCTGGGTCTATTGATCACAAAGATTGGCCTAAACATCGAGATGCATGTTATGATGTGCTTTCGTGGCATTCGAGTAATTTGTACCTTAGGGAGACCTCTACAAGTCGTTTATAGATTGTGACTCTTAGTTACTTCATGTTTGCTATAACAACCCTCATTGTCAAATAATTAACAGTAAATTAATTGAGTGTTTAAGTGAGATTTAAACACGTATTCAAGTAATCGGTAAACGGTAAATCATGTAATTGACATGATAATCAAGTTAAGAATACAGTTCATGCCAGACAAGTCTAATAGGACCCTAGGATAAGTATAAGGTATATGTGAGGAGAAGATGTCATTAAGTGAAAAGTCAGTAGTAATTTGGTAATTGATCAAGGTAAAGTCAAAGGTTGATTTTGATGATGTAATTAAATTCTATGATTAATTTTGTGGATTCAAAATGATCTTATCTTGATCAAACCATGTTTAGATTAATTTCTAAAAATTGGTCAAAGTAAGAAAAATTAATAACCAATGAAAGTTGGTTTAGGTCAAAGTTATATGCAAAGTTGTTAAGTTAGTAACAAAACTTAACTTTGTGAATTCTTTGCATGATTATTGATGTATGATTGATTCTTTGAGACCTTGTATGATTTATATTCTTAAAGGTCAAAGTTAAGTGTTGACTAACCA